TTTTATAATATGAGGTAATCATTTTTTCATTCATACCTTATCTGTTAACATATATATGACTTAAATATCATAATTTTTATTTCCATCAGATTACAACTTAAAGAAAAATATATGTGTTTTTTTTTTAATTTTTTCAATGTAAATATTCACAGAGCCTAACACACCCTGAATTATATGAATTATAATTTATTTAGAAATTAATTTAAATTAGGATAAATCATTGAGTATCAATAGACAAGAAAAAATATATAAGAAAACAATTAATTGATAACATCTTATTTTTTATGCTTCTGTGTTATGATAAATATCATACATAACCGCGCTTGTTATGGGATTATCAGAAATTATGTGGACATTCTATAATGACTATATAATATATTATATTTATTAATTCATCTTTAATATTGCTATTTAATAACTGGAAATATACTTATTAATAATATGATATTATAAATATATATATAATACATTAAATAAGCTGTATTAAATTATTATTAAAAATTCTAAATATATATGAATCAAGTATTAGAACATGATATAATTATATCAATATTATGCTCTTATGAAAATCAAATTATTATGTTATTACAAAGTAAACAAATTAAATAAAAAGTAGAAAAAGGTTCTATATACATTATAGTACTGTTGTAATATAATTGTGTCTATAGCTAATAACACTTTAAAAAATTGCAGATTATATATTTTAAAATGTGATCCCATTAAAATGAAGAATAAATATTTATTTTTTCCTATAATTATTAAATAAATTCATTAATTTTAATATAATGTATTAATAATAACATTATAGATATAACTTACATAGAACTCTATGAATCTCCTTTAAGAATAATTTATATTTCATATTAAGAATTTAATGCCAAAATTATGAAGAACTGTATAATATATTACATTCCTTGTTATGAAAATTATCATTGGATATTTCATATAATTGTAGTGTATTTATATAATGATCTATATTATTGCACTTATTTTTTTTTCTTATTCTTGAGCATCGAAAGCATGAACCATATGGCGTGAACTGATCCATAGTAAGAAAAAATAATATATGAATATGTAATTTTCATATGATAAATATTATATTTTTAAATTATTACGCTATTATATAAAGACATACATTTATATATATAATACATTTACTAACCTTATATAAAACATATAAGAAAAAGGATATTAATATGGTTAAGGCAACTGGAACTAATGTAAGAACTGTTGTATTATTGCGTTGAAAGGACGGTAGCGTTTTAGGTGTGTCATTATTACAGTTGAGATTTAATATCACTTTTTCATATTGTTCTTTGATCTTTATTAATTCTTTACAAAAATATGTTTTATTATGTTGTCTACATGATTCGACGTTCTGTTTATATATATTTGCACATTCCTGCGCATATTTAGAATTTTCTTGAGAACATGTATCTTGACCATTCAATTTATCAATGTTTTTGTAAATCTTATATATATCTTTGAGCTTTGATATTTCATCATCACTAATTGAAATATTATTGTGATTCTCGCATCGACGGTCCTGTTCAGTATTATTTACATTTATCAACTTATTATAAAGATTTTTAATTTCGTTACTATCCTTTTTCCCTTTGTATTTATCATATAGCCAATAATACAAGTATACGCAATGGGCTTCCTTTAGTTTGTTTTTACCATGATTATATAGTTCAATGTCATTAAGATAAGAAAATGTTTGAGCACATATCTCTTTGAATTGTCCTTTAATATCTCCTTGAATTCCATTTTCGTATTTATTACAAGATGTAGTATAAGAACTTTTACTTTCTTCAGCTTTTCTTATATTTTCATCACATGTGGAAAATAAATTTGCATATAAGTACTAAAAATATGAAAATAATGAAATTATCATAAAAATCATGTGTAAGGAATTTATTATAAAAATTATAAAAAATTAATATAAAATTATCATAATACAATAATCTATTTTATTGAAAAAAAATCTCACAATGTTTATGCTCATATCAGATAATAATATATTTCATTAGGAATGATCTGAAAAAAGGGATAAAATTACATGGATGCTGAAATAGCTTTTAATTAATATAAACTGTATAATACGAAGAAATACACTGATTCTTTTTTTATAAACATAGTATATATATGAATATTGTATGTACCAATTGAATCATTAATTATAATATATAATAATATAATTGAATCATTTGTAATATATATACACTTTTTTATATCATTTTAAATAAGAATGTTAAAAAACAAATAAAAAAATAAATGAACAAACATAAGAAACATTGTAATAATGCAATATTAATATTACAAAAATGTATAAGAATTATATAATTTTTTCTTATTCAGTAAGCATAAAAAGTTAATATAATTCTTTTAACTTATATATATAATAATTTTATATCTACTTCACTTTGTTTTTCATATAATATGTATTATTTAATAAAAAATATATAAAATATAAGAATACATAAATATTATATATTATGAAAAAAATAAAGCTTTTTTTACATGTGAAAAAATCATATAAATTTATTAAAATAAAATATGATCATTTACAATAAATATGTCTATATATTGAATGCAACATATAAGACTTATTTGTGTATAAAGTGAAATATTAATTAACATTACAAATAAAAATATGTATATATTTTTTATATATCTCATGTCTATGTGGGGAAAATTATATATTTCATAAAACTTGGATTATAAAAAATTAAGACATATTCATTTTAATACAGATTTAAGAGATTTTCATAAAATAATAATATCAATGATATAAGTTGATCATATTCAAACATTATAAATACAAGGTTCTTTAATTTATATATCCATAATTTTACACCTATATAGATATTATAATACTGTATACTAAGAAGTCTTAACTGCATAACTTAATGAATTTATAGAATTTGTCTATTTTGAAACATTTTAAATTACATTAACTTTTATAGAATTTTATATGTTTTTTATTATATATATATGATCAAATTATGAATTTAGTTATACACTAAAATTCAGAAATATTATTGCATACCAAATGTAAATTATAATAGTAATTACAATAATTATTTACCTTATGAATAAAAAATAATGAAAGCATGAAACATATTACTTATATTAGTGTTTAAATATAAATAATAATATTTTTATATAGAAATATTAATTTTTTATTTTTCATTTGTTAATTTATAACTAAATGGAATATACACTGTATATAATAAATACGTAAAATATTATTTTATGATAATAATTTATTATAATACATGCTTATTATTAATAAAAAGTGTATTCATCAAATAGTTATTTAATAATAATGATTTATTTAAAAAAATTATAATAATTACTGAGTGCATTAATAATGAACTTCATATGAAGTATATAAATTTTGTATTAATCAAATATTACTATTTCTTCATAAATTGTCCAATTTAGAGGCATAAATAATATTGGTTCTACATAGAAAAAATTTATACATATGTTAAAAATTCATTTAGCATTTTCTAAAGATGTCCTATGGCGAATATAATATGCATTATTTTGTGACTTCAAAATAATTATTATAAGATTATGAAACAATAAATATAGTATAAAATTAACTTTTTATGATATAAATTGAGTATATTATAACAAAAATATATACTTATAAATTAAAATTTCCTTGATTCATAATTAAAAACATAAGAAAAATAATAATTATTTAACATATATAATGTAATATATTATGTTATTATAAAAATTAATGCTTAAAATATTCAATAAAAAAAAAAAAAATTATATATGAATTCCAAATATAGTGAGACTTTTGTAGATAAATATGACTCAGTAAGAGAACTTCGTATGTTATGTTGAAATATGGATCCCCTTATATATATTTTCCTTGTATAAAACTCAATTTAGTTCATCAAAATCATCCAAAGAAGTAAACTTCTTTAATAGTCAGTACAATACTCGTACGAAAATCACAAATATAAAAGGATAGAATATATTGTGCAAATATAAATAATTAATGCGATTTTTCAAAGAGAATATATTAACCATTTGATCTAGAAACATTTTCACATGTAATTAGTTAAATGGATAGCTGTAAAATAATTGATATCTTAAAGATTTATTTAAGTAATTTGTAATATTTTTATGCACTAGATTAATATAAATAATGGTTTATCCAAATATAAAGATTAGAAGTTATATTGTAGCATACACTGCTTAAATATATAGGGATCATATAAAATGCACAAAAATAAATAAAGTAATGAACGCTCAACTGTTTCATTTAAGTAACACTCACAAATGAAAAAAGACTTTTTCTGGAAAAACAGGTTTGTATATATATCTGTATATTTATTTTGTTTTAATGGAAAGACAATAAACATACCTAATGTTGCATATATTATTCGTTCTGTCTCCTTTATTTATTGGATATTGAAAAATATATTTAATATAAATAATGTCATAATAAAAATGAAGTGCAGTAACAATTAGGTCTCAAATATAATTTTGAGTGATTATATATATATTTCATTATTATTTATATGGAAACATATTTAATATTATAATATTGCATGTAATGACAATGAATAAATGATATCTGATTTTTGTAACAGTTTGTTGGTTATTATAAATAGGATTCATATTTAAAATATTTTTTATAATGTTTAAAAAATTTTTTATTGTTGTAGCTTAAAATTACTACTACTGTTTTTATTGTTTATTTAAAATTTTATTATTCAGTTAATATAAGACAGATCTAAAATATATATATAAATATAATGCATATATAAATGTGCACGTATACTTGTTGGTTTATTAAAACGGAATATAATTTTTTTATATATATCATCTATTAAGATACTGTATATTATACATTTTATTCTAACATTTTTCATTATATATTTGTTAACTGGAGGTAGAAATATAGCGTGATTATAAAAATTGGAAATGCTTATAAGAGACATCATATTTTATTGTTAGAAAATCCTTTAAAATTGAGTGTTATTTATTTATATTTATAAAATTAGTGTTTATTTCAGCCCACTGGTTTTATTACACTTCCAATGAATTTATTTTTAATAAGATTATTACTGCCCCCTTGGTAACTACATTATGAATAGTGGCGGTCTTAAATATAATAACTGCCTAAAATGAATATAATTGCTTTAACTTTCATTGGTACCAAGGAATAATAATGATTGTTCTTGAGATATATATTTTTAAATGCACTAATTGAACATAGTATATTTTGAACAAAGTCATTCTATTTTCTGTCTTACATATTCATTACCAATTTATGGAAATATTTATATTTATTACCTTTATGAGGAGTATTTAATCGATTCTGTTTTTCTCTCCAACACTAAAATGATTTCTTCAACTTTATAGCTGCTTTTTTATGAGATGTTTCTATGAATTATTTACCGTATATATAAATATTTTTTTTGAGATGTTAAGTTCGTTTCGCGAAATATATAAATTTTTAATTTTTTCGTAATATTTTTATTTAAAAATGTATTTTTACTTTTTAACAATGTAGAGTATACATTTATTTTAAATAATGAGCTCCGAATATAATCACACTTATTTACTACCCTATAGAATGAGACAAAAATAATTTTCACATTCATTACAATGTTATTAAAACTTAAACATATATGTATAAAATTCATATATTATAATTCACAATATCTAAAATAATTTTATAAATTGTATTGTACATTTTCAAAAAATGTTTATTATTATAGTACAATATTTCCGTAGCACTTGGAAAAAATATTCCTAACCTCAAAAAACATGATGTTGTGAAATTACGTTAATGTGCTATAGGCACATTATATTGGGGGAATGATAGAATTCCTTAAAATATGAATTAAATTTATTACTCACAAAAATTTAATGAAGTTATAATTAAGTTTTCATCGTTTTAATACATATAGCAATAACATATATTTTAATACAGGATCATAAAAAAAGTAAATGTTGTCATCGAAAAATTACCTTAAAAAAATAAATCAATGCACAAATACATATAAGTTAAGGTCTTTTTCAATGATATAATACATTTAGACAGTGATGAAATATTCATATTCTTTCATGAACACCACAAATATGTTTTATATTATTTATGTAAAGCACTTGTACGAAATAACATCTCAATTTATGTAAGCAAAAGTATATAATGAAATGGATCCTAATTTTCTTCTAAGCCTTCATTATGTCAAAAACTTATTTTGAAAGAAATTTTTGAAATATATGTTAAGTAATTCATTCATGAATTAAGAAATTAAGGCCACATACAATTGTTACATTTTGTTGCTTAATAAAAATAATAGTTTTGCATGTTATATTTCAAAAAAATATTATAAAATTTGTGAATATATTACTTACTATTTTAAATAAAATATATTTAGCGCCTTCACGATTATTTAAAAAAAAATAATAAATATATTAAGTGGAAAAAGTAAATTTCAAGGTGTGTATATATAAACACAGCAAATAGATTTTACTTTTTAAATACGAATAGATGTGATACTTTGCATCACTATGGTTTTCCATTAATACTTTTTTTAAAAAAATTAATGCGTTTCACAATAATCTTTTTGTGTTGTTAACTTAATAAAAGATAATTTATTTTTTTTTTTTTCATATTATATTCTACAAGCATTTATATTATGTGTACAAAAAAATATTAGTTTTTAAGAATTTATTTATTAAAAGTTAATTCACACTGGAACAGTTTTTATTATTGCTTTGTCAAATTATAAAAACAGAGAGACTCCATGATTTATTGTGGAATTCCAGAATATTGAATAATAAAAAAATAGAATTTATAACATTTTGTGATATACATTGTATTCTACGTATAATAAATGAAATTTAGTCATGGTATCATATGATTATTAGTTTATGCCACATTTGTTTGATTGATATTATAAATTTATTAATGTGCGAATTATTAAAAATATATGAATAAATAATTAACCCTAATAACTCCTG